GTGAAGCACTTTCCTCATTACTTTCTTTGAGATCATTAGGTCCTAGACGAACTTTTTTGAAATAATGACTCTTCAAGTTGCAAAATGTAAGCATTAAACTCTGAGTTTTGTTTCTAGACTGATCCAGATCTTCTCAAGTTTTGTTCGTGCTTCTTGCGTTCTTTGATTAATCTTCTGGATTTGAACATTCTTGTTTCTGCATCTTTGCATCCAATTGCTAGCCACTTCTTGCTCTACCTCAATTTTGGTGTTGAAATTCTTTCTTTCCAACTCCCATTTTTCTTTTTCAATATTGAACTCTTCAATCTTTTGGCCCCTGACTTCAAGTTCAGCAATCAGCTGGTTCATTTCAGATTCAAATCCTTGAACATGATATTTTTCTCACCTTCAATTTATCAAAGATGTCATTCTTCATCTCTTCTAAATCTTTGGCTCGATCCCTTTCTCTTTGCATTTTATTCATGATCTCGCGGTGTTCAGCCTTGTGTTTTATAATTCGCTCTCTTCTGTCGACCTCAAAATCTTCCATTTTTACTTTCCTTTCAAGGCTTTTGAGTAGACGGCTATTCTTTCCTTTCAGATCTTCAACTCGACTTTTCTCGATATTCAATTCTCGGGTTGATTGGCTTGGTCCTGATGCTTTCCGGGATTTATAAACTCTTGGTAATTTTTCTTTAATGCTCTAAATTCACCATCAACTTTTTCTTTGTTTTCTCTCAACATTGCACATTGTGATGAATGAAAGTCAATATCAAACACCCAACATAGCTTTATCTCGTCTCATTTGCTCTAATTCTCTTGACCAGCTTCTCTTTCTACTTCAAACTCAGCTCTCAGGATTTCAATCTCTGATGGAACCACCTTAATGCGATCTTCCATAGAGATATCCTCATTTTGATCTGGTAGAGGAATATTTTCATTTTTCCTGACATATCTCCATTCCTCATAATCAGGAGTTAGCATTTCTTTTGCTGCTTTAGCTCGGATACAAAAAGTTGTTTTCCAAGCTGTAACGGCTTCCATGATATTTCTTTTATAATTTTTGCTGTGGAATGCGAACTCAGATGAATGTAATCCAACAGTGACAGGTACAAATTGACGACCTTCATACTGTCTTATGACCAGAAGTGGTGCATATCCAATTCCTCCCCATAATCCGAGCAGCATTATCCAATTGTAATCACCACATTTGTAAAAGAATTCCCTTTGGATTTGCCACGGGGCTCGCCAAACAACGTCATTACTTTGCAGATTTCGAAAAGCATTAATCCACATATCTTTCTAAATTTCTTTCGGCCATTCTTGCTCCAGAAATTCTCCTAATGGTGAGTAATCCGTATTAAAGCGTTGGTATGAAACCTTTTCTGTCCTCCAGAAATGACTACGGATCCAAACATATAACAACTGGGTACACCCTGAGAATCGTCCACCTCCTATCTTTCTACAAGCATTTAACGATCTGAAGGTCTCTGCTAGAATTGCAGAAGCAGGATTAATCTTTTTCGGTAGCTGTTCAAATAAATCTACCACTGCAGCTTCAACATATCCCATTACTTTTGGGAAGATGACCATACCATACATACCCAGAGCAAATAGATCGAATCGTACTTTAGTGTCTGGATGACTCTGAATAAGTTCTTTAATGTTGGTCCAAGCAATGCCTTCGCTTTCGCCTTTTTGTTTTGTACGGGATGCCACCCATTCTTCTCGTACCCCGTCAATCTTTGCTAATTTAACTCGAAAGGGTTGAGTTTTAATTGACTTTGAATAGATTCGATTCTCCAAAGCCCCTTCTATATGTAGCAAAGTTGTGTACTCTTCAATAGTAGGGACCAAGTCCTCCTTATTGAGAGTGAAGCAATTGTACCCTGGATTCCAGAATTGAATTAGGGCTCTGAGTAATTCATCATCAACTTCGACATAGAGCAAATATGGGATGTCTCCGTAAGTCTGATAAAACTGCAATTTTTTGTTTGAATCCCAACTTTCCCAAATGCTTCGCAAATCTTGCATATCATTTCTTTTTAGCGAAACTGGAGCATAACTGGCCAAGTCAGATACATAATCATCCTGCAGACTGTCTCCTTCTTGTCTTTGTAAGTCCTCAGCCCACTGTCTTACTTCTGAGTTTAGAATTATTTGATTTGAACACTTTTTATCCATGGATGAAGGCTTTCCAATGAGACAATTAACACGAGGATCAATTCCTTTTATCATGTATGATGCTATGCAAAATAAAAAAAATAAAGAACACACAAAAAGAAATGAATTAGTTTACATAATAAAGAATTTAACAATAATATCTACCTAAATATCTTTATTTAAACATGCTTTTTCATAATTTAAATAATTTAAATTTACATGTAATTTAATCAGTAAAAAAAATAAATAAATTAACAGGAAAGTTAGAATTCATTTCTCCTGTGTGTACACCTATTTTGGACAAAATTTCGGCATGACTTCAGATCGGAAGAGTTTTTAGGGTTTATTATATGCAAGGTTTCAGATCTAAGAATAAAGGTACCCGAATTGTCCTTGTTATTGCCCCCTTGGGTTGATAACCCTCAATCCTAGTCCATCACAGACTAAAGTGGATCGAGTTCAATTCGAGGGGATACATTTCTCTATGCCTGACACGGAGAATAAATTCTCACGAAGACATAGAGCATATGAACCCCGAAAGTTACTTGCTAGGTCTGACACGGAGAATAAATTCTCACGAAAACGTCGCTTTCACTCCCACTTAAAAGGGACAAACTCAATTATAGAGCTTTATGTTATGCAGTGCAAGTGTTGTGTGTGAGGAGAAATGTTCAAACCTCTGACAGAAAAATAAATAATGAAATAAAATACTTGCAAATAAAAAAATATTAATAGGAAAATATATACATACTATGAAAATAATAATATATAAAAAATTTGAAAAGAAAAATTATAAATTAAATATATAAATTTTAATTTATAATTAATAGAGACAATTTATAATTGATTTTAAAAGTTTGACTAGTCCCCAGCGGAGTCGCCAAGCTGTCGTAACCGGTTTTCATCCGGGTACGAAAAATTTATTTGGCGGAAAAATTGATGTGAATAAATGGTTTTTGAAAATAATTTGGGAGTCGCCATCGGCCTTTTGGGTCAGGTAGGTCAATACCTAAAAATTATTTTTTTAAAAGAGTTTTAAGAAAACATCAATTAAAAATGAACTGATCTGCGTTTATAACCAAAAATTCGTTCTTTTAATAATAAAAAGGGATTCGTGGTCGGTTACGTTTAGGGAAGGATTAGCACCCCTACAACGCCCAAAATTGATACTTTTTAATTATAAATTGTCTCTATTATTAAAAATTCAAAATATATTTAATTTATAATCCTATTATTTCAAAATTATATAAAAAATATTTAAAAATATCGGAAAAGGACTTCTAGGTGCCTTAAGACAGCTCTTTTCTTTGATATTAATAAATATTAATTTGAATAAAATTAAATAATAATTTTTTATAATATTTAATTTTAAAATACCAGAATAGGACATCTAGTTGTATTAAGACTGCCATTTTCTTCGATATTAAAAAATAAATATTAAAATAATTATTATATATATTTTATGACTACATAATAATAAAAAATATTTAAATATATAAACAAATAAATTAAAACAATAAAAATATAATTAGAACTATATGAAAATTTAAAATTGGTGACTAGATTATAGTAAAATTAAAATTAAATATCCAATTCATATTAATCAAAATTATAGGGATTAAACATGCTATTTTTATTTATTAATTCAGTGACTAAAATAAACTTATCTAAAATTCGAATACCAGATTAAAATAAATTAAAAATATAAACTCGGGATTAAAATATTAATTATTAAAATTAAGGGATTAAATCTGTTATTTACCTTAAATATATTATTTTAATATAAAGGACTAAAATAAATAAAAGAAAAATTAAAGAACCGAATTAAAAGGATTATAAATTGATTTAGTGACTAAAATGTAAAGTTTACAAATTTGAGGGATGGCGAACGGGATTTAACAATTAAAAAATTACGCAAATAGCCCTCCCCGAAACGACGTCGTTCGGGAAGGGCTATTTAAAGCCAAAACCCGACTGGCCCGAAGGGCCAGCTTCATTTCTCGTTTTTTTTCCTCTCTCTCTCTTCTCTGAGAGAGAAAATTTTCTCTCGCTTCTCTCTAAAACAGAGAGAAGCTAGCCGGCCGGCAGCCGTCCGCCGGCGTTCTTCCACCGCCGGCCACCGAAGGCGGTGGCCGGGAAAAAAAAATTTTATACTAAAATATAGATCGGACCGTCCTAATGACGGTTCCGATGGTTTTTTCTTCTAAACGGCTCCCGATCGGAGCAAATCTAAGAAAAATACCTTTGGTTTTCGAAGGTTTTGGTGACGTTTGAAGAGGTCCGGTGGTCGTAGCTTCCTCGGTAAGCTTTTCTCCTCCCTTTTCTTTTGTTTTTGGTTGCTGGTTATTTTGAGTTGGTCTCTTTTTTGGTATCTTTGCTTTCGGTTTTTGTCTCTCTGGCTCTGTTCTTTTTTCCTTTTTTCTGTTCGCAGATGGGGTGATGGCTTTATAGCCATCACCGGTGTGGCCATCGGACCGGGTAAAAGAATGGAGTCTGGTGAGTCACCGGACTCCCAGTGGTGACTCACCGTTGGGACGACATGTGTGCGGCTGGAGTGGCGGCGAGGCTGAAGCAACGCCGCGTGGTCTTCTGGAATCTACGGCGGCGCTGGGACGTGTCCCTAGGGTATTGATACCCTAGGGTTTCCTCTGGCAAACTGTGGACCGTTGGATCAAACCAGATCCAACGGCTGAAATTGAAGGTGGCGGCTGGGGGAATAGGAAAACCCTAATCTGTTAGGGTTTGTGATTTGGGCCAGTTGGGTCCTTTGTAATTGGGCCGGTCCAATCTGGGCCTGTTTTGTAATTATTTTTTTTAATAATAATAATAATTATAATAATAATAATAATAATAATAAAATGAGTAAAAAAAATGTATCCGAAAATGGAGTGACTGATTCGAAACCACAGAAAGCGGAACCGGAGATGGTTGAAACTGTAGTGCTTGCTTCCTTGGAGAAGTTCTTTAAATCCCTTCTAAATATGCCGGAAGTGGAGAGGTCAGTTTTCCCTTTATGCTTATTCGTTCTCTCCGTGTATGATTAAACATTGTGGTTGCGATAAACAACTGATTGAGGCCATCTATTACTTGTTCCTCCTACAGCAGAAAGTTTAGGGCGGTCGTGAATGCGGCCATGGAGCACCAACCGCAGCTATATCTTTATAGCACAGCTGATAAGGTCGTACTGTATAAATCCGTCGAGTTGTGCATTAACGAGATGAGCAACAAAGGGATAAAGGTATTCTCCTTGAACTTCGGCACGTCTCCTCATGTCGATCACTACAGGAATTTCCCCAACTTATATTCATCAGAGCTTCATAGGTTCCTGAAAGAATGTTTTCCACCTTCTAAACAAGAATGAACCTTTTCTTAGCAGTTCAATCCACTTGTTGCAGACCCATGTTTCTTCCGAAATAAACAGTTTGATTTTTAGACGAGGGTAATGAAAATGGTTTGAAACTGAATGGGTTTTGTGTGAAAAGACGAGGGTAATGAAAATGGTTTGAAACCGAATGGGTTTTGTGTGAAAAAACTCATGTGTCTTCTCAGTTGGCGTTAATAATAATATAAAAAATTTTGATGTATGTCGCCGTTAGTTTATAACAGTCACGTCAGATGCGTCAAATTTTTAACGCATAATGATTTCAATCAAATGTTTGGTGGTTTGATTGATTAAAAAAAAATCAGTATTCAAATTAATTATTGACCATAGTTTTAGTAGTCTTCCGTGTAGTTTACTTATTTTTTATAATATTTCAAAAAGACGTCGGTTGTATCGTCTAAAATTATTAAATTTTATAAAACATGAAATTTGATCTTTTTTTTCTTTACCCTTTCAACACAATAGCAAAGTCCTTATAAATTTATTCTCTATTTTTCAAAAAAATTATTTTCATTCTTCTTTTACTTTCTTTATTTTAGGGTGTATTTCTCGAAAAATCATCGGTGATCGGTACATTTATCGATCTAACATCGGTCAGATTATATTTCCCGATCTAACACCCGTAACAGTAAAGCGCGCTCCTGAACCGCGTTATATGCTGATTTGGCGTCACGTGGGGTATAGCGCGCTCCCTTTACCTCGCTATACGCTGACATGGGTTACACGTGTGTATAGCGTGCCCCATGATCCGCTCTATACGTCACGTAGGGGTATAGTGCGGATCATGGGTCGCGCTATACGCCACATAGGGGTGAATTATATTTAACGCGGTCCCTGGTCCACGCTATATCTTTTATCTGAATAATTACATATAGCGCGGTGCAGGTACCGCGCCTTATATGGTTATAAATACCCTCATCCGCCGGTTAAGTTTCTCACATCTCCTCGCATCTCTTCGCATCTCTCCTCTCAACTTATAAATTAATACAATAATTCCGTCAATGAATAATAATTCTGGCAATATTCTCATATTTGATTTAGAAGTTCGTGCGATTTTTCGTTATAAGGTAATTTTGTTATAATTTTTTAATTATACTTATTGTTTATTATCATTATTTGAAAAAAAATATTATACTAATTATTTTCAATTAATTTGTATGTTTGTAAAATTGAAAAGCGAGAGTATACGTCGAAATAGTTTTGCGGTGCAGGTAATATATAAATTATATTATTTAAATTATTTACGTTTATGTGTAAAAAAATTTATTGTGTTATATTTTCATTCATATATAATTTATTAATCAGGTTTGTTTCAGTTTCTTTTTTTGCAGATATAATATTGCCACACTTTTAAACTCAAAGAATGGCGCGACTTTCAGTTATTGTTTATTTTGATGGTGAAATTCGAGAAGATGAAACCGGCGTTGTTTTCGTATTAAATGAGCGTGTTAAAATATCATTCAAGAGAAACATAACTCTTGATGAGCTGATAACGAAGATTTCGAGGAAGATTCATGTTGGAAGTAGTAGAAGAATGTCGTCGATGCAGTACAGATTTCCAACATCATTGTTGCCATTAACTTATACATCGTTCGAACTTTCGAACAATGATGATGTTCAAATAATGGTTGAAGCTTAAAGTAATTATTCAGATGCCGCTATTGAGATGTATGAACATTTTTTTCAAGTGCGTACTGTTTGGGGTCAATCATTAAGCTCCCACTATGGGCTGGCTGAATAAGTTGATCAAGTTGACAGCCCGACTACAGTAATGTGTAATGATTTTAATGCCATAATGGGGAGACATTCATCCGCAACTTCTTACGATATGTACCGAGGTGGGTCTATAAACAATCCTTATGGAAACATCGCGTCCAGTTCAAGGGGAAGACATTCATCTGCAAATTTCTATGACCTTAATATGGAGATGTCATCGACGCAACAATCTGTGCAGTTTCGATCTCAATGTCAATATGCCTTCTAGTTCAAGGGGAAGATATGCAAGTAGTAGGTTCTTCGACCTAAAATGTGGAGCGTATGGAGGAACCATCATCTCCACCAAAAGAACCGCTTCGTGAGCCTGGTGCGGATGGTGCTGAGACCGGACTATTCATTCACCCAGAATCACCGCAATTCAACTCTGATGATGATGATGTAGATGAAGTTTCAGGAAATGTGACACAAACTGACCCTCCTGCACACATGTATGAAGCTGATTATGGTGCAATGTACGGGCCAGAATTTGCGGATATGCCTCATCTCGGTGACTATGGATATTACTCATCAATAAATAATAGTGAGTTATCTTTAGGCATGGAGTTTTCAAGCAAAGAAGAAGCGATGATGGCTATCAAAAATTACAATATCCGTAATTCTGTTCAGTCCAGAGTCAACCGATCGACGACCGAAAAATATGTATGCTACTGTGCCCGACGCAAAAACGGATGCAATTGGATGGTTCGTGTATCGAAAACGAAGAGGAAAAACAACATATGGGAACTAACAGTATACAACGGTCCTCACACATGTTGTGCTGGAGGGGTCAACCAAGATCATCCCAACTTGGACTCTGAAATAATATGCCAAGCCATCATGCCCATGGTAAAAGCAAGCTCTCATATAGCTGTTGCAGTGTTGATTTCAGCTATACAATTGCAGTATGGGTACACTGTCTCCTATAAAAAAGCTTGGTTGGCAAAACAAAATGTTATTGTCAAACTTCATGGTGAATGAGATGCATCTTACAACCAACTTCCAGGTTGGTTTAGGCTGGTGCGGACGTTGAATCCTGGGATAATTGTGGACTTCAAAACCTCTTATGCATACCATAATGATCGAGTTCTTCGCGATTGAAGCCAATTCTACAGGGTTTTTTGGAGTTACCCACAATGCGTTAATGCTGCCAAATACTGCAAGCCTGTGGTCCAGATCGACGGGACTTTCTTGTTTGGAAAATACAAGCAAGTTTTATTATTGGCAGTTGTCCAAGATGGCAATCGCAACATTCTTCCAGTTGCTTTTGCTCTTGTCGAAGGAGAAGATACAGATTCTTGGGCTTTTTTCCTCCGAAATTTACGTGCACGTGTTATCACGAGGGAAAACTTTTGTGTCATTTCAGATCACGGAGCTGGGATCAAAGAAGCAATGAAGTCTTTGGGTCCAATGTGGCAACCACCCTTTGTCCAACATAGGTATTATCCCCGACACATTGTTGCGAACTATCATGGAAGGTACAAGAAGAATGATGAGCGTCAATTAATTGTGCGCATGGGTAAGTGAAAGCAAGTTAGTAAGTTATACATTTTTTGATCATTTTAATTTTGCAAAGAAAGCAAGTTAGTAAGTTACACATTTTTTGATTAGGTTACAAACTACTTCCTCGAACATTTGAATCAATGTTTCAAGATTTGCGGGCGAAGAACGAGGAAGGATACGATTACATCAGCCTCATCGATAAAGAAATATGGACGAACGCATATGATGGTGGATATCGATATGGACACATGACGACCAACTTGGCTGAGGCAATCAATTCAACCTTAAAGGGTGCATGTCACTTACCTGTAGCGGCTTTGATAAAAACTACATATTTTTGTTTGGGGGCGCTTTTTATGAAGCTCGGGGGACAAGGTCAAACCTGGATGCAAGGCGGTCATGTCTATCACTCTATATTAGTTGCAGATCTACAGAAAAAATTTGTTGCATCAAATGGAATGTCTGTAACAAGCTTCTCTAGAATGCATGAAATGTTTCGTGTCACAGAGTTGTCCCGACCTCTTCAAGGGATTGAAGATGTATCTTTAAGAGTAAATCTAAGGGACAGAACGTGCGACTGCGGGTTTTTTCAAGCTCTGAAGTATCCATGCTCTGATGTGATAGCAACTTGCTCGTATACACGTCAAGATTATAACCATTTTGTGGATCTTGTATACCTACTATCTGAAGTTTTTAAGGTATACAAATTTGAGTTTCCCCATATGTAATGACAAAGACCTTAATGAGGTTCAAGATTGGCTTCCGATTGTACCAAATCCGATTTTATTGAGGGAGCGTGGTCATCCAAAATCCAATCGAATTCATTGCAATATGAATATTCGAGAAAGATCTAGACAAGACAGAAGATGTGACCATTGTAGAAACTCAGGACACACTAGAAAAACATGTTCACTTCTGTTGTCATCAAGTAACAATTGATGAGGAAATGATGTATTTGTTTATCAAATAATAATTCTTGTATTTTAATTTGCATTTACTTCAAGTTAATGTTATTCGATAATCGCTGATGAAGATTAAAAAAATGAACACAATCATTAAATTTTATCAAACTAATAACAATTTGGTATTTAAATACAACAAACTTACAATAAGAATTAAATGGTAAATGATAACCAAATTACAATAACTGATATTAAATGGTAATAAACAAAATTAACTGAAATATATTAAAAAAAGTCTAATAAATTTAACAAAATAAAGTAAGTATTAAATGAGAAATAATAAAAAATTACAATTAAACAAAATAAAGTAAATACAAATATAATAAAAAAAATCTATCGATGCCTGCGTCGCGAATGTGTTCCGCAGGGCGGTGGCTGTCGGTCTCGAGGAGGATTTCTTCGTAACACTGGTTCTGACTCCTCGCTGTTATCATCATCGTCATCGTCTTGAGCAGGTACATTAGGTTGATGAGGAGTTGATGACGATGAAGCACCTCCATAGAATAAGGACCCTGGAGGTGTATGACTGACTATCCCACCGGCCTGCGAAAACTGGGAAAACTGAGAAAACCCAGACATCGCTGAGTGTGAAAACTGTACAGGAGGTATTTGTGCTGCGGCCATGGGTGATAAGGCTGAACCTGCCAAATATCCAGTATATGAACCCTAAGTCGGATCTGCAAACATAGACCCATAATAGCCTCCAGGAGGGTCATTTGTGACGGTGGCAACGGCGGGGTCATAAAACTAGGTGAAGGCGAAGACGGCGGCATTTGGTAATGGAAA